CAAGCAGCAAAAAGCAATTTCACAACAATTTCACCGGGTCTTTCCAAAAGAAAAATCTAACTTCCAATTACAAAACCAACATCTACTTGTTCCTTGATAAAATTTCAAAATGATACAGCATACTTGTAGTCTTGTAATCCATAAACAAATATATATATATATATATATATATATATATATATATATATTTTCGCAACATAAGGAATTTCTATTTTTTCCTTAATATAGCAATATCAGTATCTTATATTGCCTATGAACTTACTGCATTATACTAAGTATACATAGAAATGCAACATCGTTCTAGACTATCATCAATTGTTACCCGATTTTGCTCTTATCCTGCTAATGCAAAAATCTAGTCCCATATATGAAATAATGCATTGTTCCGATTAACATGAGATGCTTGCTCTTATTGGAACACACTGAGGCCACACTTTCTCAAAGCCAATCTCGCACTTGATATCATTAATTGTCACAATATTTTGTTTTTATCATGTGATCGCAGAAACCATTCTCTTATATGGAACAAAAAATGCTCATTTATGTCATATATGTCCAGATGAATTGTCAATATAAAAATTTGAGATAGAAAAGAATAAATAAATAGAGAGAAAGTTAAATTGAATTAAAATTTTGAAGGCGCCCCCTTTAATCATAATGCTAAAATGTTGGCCTCGGAGATGCAGAATTGCCTCAAATCTCATCAGGCAGAGATTATTGAGCGAAATGGAGTTACACATCTACCAAACCATCATGTAAACAAAGCGGTTCAATAGGAAGACAAATTGACTGTCACCTAGCACTCATGCCACACAACAATAAAATATTTCCACAATTCGAAAATGCCAAATACAGCCAAAACACCTCAAGGAAACTTGTTGAACTGTTTCCTTCTATAACAAACATACCATTCGGGCAGTAACATAAATGAGCTAAATTCATGAAGCATTAAATACCAAACGTTAATCAGGCACTTTCAAAAGCATTTAATACCTGAATCTTGGAATCTAACATCCAATAGTCAATATTGAAATTGTAAAAACAAAAAAAAAAATTAAAAAAATACACTAGATAATGTTTGAACCATGCACCTGGAATATTTCAGCAATGCTCTTCTTTTTACCACCTAGTCCTAGTCCCGGCAAACCAATCAGCCCATCACCACCCCATTCCACTGAACCCTGCAATTTATCCGTCTCATTCTCGCTCTCTGCTTTTTTCGAGTTAAATCCTGGAGGCATGGGTGACCTCCTACCATTACCATTAATATCATTCTTGTTTACATTACTCCTATCACCAATAGCGGAGCTCCCTCCTTGCAACCTCTGTGAAAACCGCCAATCTTCTTTGGACAGAAGTGGTGGGGGCAACCTAGGATTAAGATTTACGTTGGAGTAATAGTAAGATAAGTAAGCAGGATCAGACCTAAGCTCCTCCTCAGACATGAAACCATTATTGTTAAACAATCCACCCACTGCACTCAATGAACCCTCAACAGTAGGTGGAGCTGAGCCACTTCTATACATATTCAGCTCCTTCTCGCGATCGTCAGCTTCTTGTCTTCGCTGATCATGAAGTAACATCCCAATCTCTTTCTCAAACTCATCTCCAAATGAATTTTCATTGTTCCCAATCATCGGTCTCCTACCCAATTCAGATACCATCCTCACTCACTCATTCCACAACAAATATAATCAATACCCACAAGCCTTAACAACCCAAGAAAGCTATTCAAAATCAAAATTTTGTCATATATATAAACCTTAAAAACTACAAAACCCCACGTGCACAACCTCAAAATCAAAGCTTTAAGCTCTTAAAAATCCAATCTTTGATCAAATATAATTCCAAGAAAGCTCCATGATCAAAGAACAATTATGTATACCCTCATTCCACAACAAGTATAATCAATACGCACAAGACCTAGCAACTCAAGAAAGGTTTAAAAAAAAGATTCACATAAACCTTAAAAACTACAAAACCCCACATGTACAACCTCAAAATCAAAGCTTTGAGCTCATAAAAATCCAATCTTTGATCAAATAAAATAGTACCAAGAAAACTCCATGATCAAAGACCAATTATATACTCATTCTACAACAATTATAATCAGTACCCACAAAACCTAGCTACGCAAGAAAAGTAAAAGAGCCAAAACTTTATCATATAAACCTTACAACTACAAAAACCCACATGTATAAGCTGAAAATTGAAGCTTTGGTGTTGATAAAAATTCAATCTTTGACTAATTAAACTCCAAGAAAATTCTTTTTTCTCAACATAGAGCAGGTAAAGAAAACTGTGAGCTAATGAGAGAGGTGATGAAGGTTAAATGGGGGGAGGAGAGAAGAAATTCTGGCGGCGAATCAATCCCTTTTAGGGTTTTGGTTTTTGAAGTAAGTATTAGGCAAGAAATGATTAAATGCAAAAAACAAAAAACATAGAGGTTTATTCCGTAGGTGTATAGGAAGAGTTTTTAGCCAAAATTAAAAATGAAAAAAGCAAAGAAGTTTATAGATAGATATGTAGAGAAATAAAGTGACGTTAGTATGCCTAGTGTTCCTAAAGAAGAATCTGCAAAATGCCACGTCTACTCTTCAATTAGATTGGGGAATGCTTTTCTTGAATTCTTGGAGGATTTTCATATTTTGGGTAAATATCTCGTACTTGTTCTCTTTTATCCGAAAAAAAGGATTTGACCAACGAGACGCGAGGCGAAATGATTGGATCCTTTAGCTTTTAATCAGATTTCGAGTTTAAATAAAAAATGAAGTCTTTTGGTATGAAATATTTGATTTCTAATAAATATATCTAAATACTTCTTTGAATTAATTGGTCAATAAATGTTTAAAACTTATCTCTGTTTGCCGCCTTAAGCGAGCACCTTACGGCCTTAAACAAGCACACAACCTATACAAAGGGATATAGTTATCCATTATAGGGATTTTCTTCTAACAATCCCATATTTAGTATGTCACGGAATCATGAAGCAAACTCGTTCTATTCAATATCCATATGGGTGTTTACCCTAAAATGGTACAATTAAATTTATTATGTGGTTTATAGATAATCGAACTAATTTGATCCCAAAAATGATAAAGAAATAAGATTAAAAATAAGACCTAGCAATTGAAATCAAAAAAGATGACAAGCCTGGCTCTGAGCAGAGTGTCTCCGAGGACAGAAATGAAAGCAATATAAAAGAAAAAATGAAGTCTTTTGGTATGAAATATTTGATTTTTTCTAATAAATATATTTAAATACGTGTTCGAATTAATGGGTCAATAAATATTTAAACCGTATCTCTGTTTGTCGCCTTAAGCGAGTACTTTACGGCCTTAAACAAGCACCCAACCTATACAAAGGGTTATAGTTATCCACTATAGGAGTTTTCTTCTAACAATCCCTTATTTAGTATGTCACGGAATCATGAAGCAAACTCGTTCTATTCAATATCCATATGGGTGTTTACCTTAAAACGGTACAATTAAATTTGTTATGTGGTTTATAGACAAGCGAACTGATTTGATCCCAAAAATGATAAAGAAATAAGATTAAAAATAAGACCTAGTAATTGAAATCAAAGAAGATGACAAGCCTGGCTCCGAGCAGAGTGTCTCAGAGGACAGAAATGAAAGCAATATAAAAGAAAAAATAAAATTATTTAATTGAAAGCGAAAATGAAATGCAGTATATGTTTTGCCAAGAATTTTGTGCCTTACAATGGTTGCTGAACCTAATATTTATAGTTATACTTACGGAAACAAGATCCTAGGATAATGCCCCACTTAAATTATAATAATGGAGTCATTGATGAATATATAACGGCATGCCATAAATGCAAATATTCTCTGCAATGGCTGCCCATTTAATGTTAGAGAATATTCTTCATTGAATGCTATCCGATGGCAAATATTCGATCTGCTCTTGTTGATCATGCTCCCTTCGCGGTTTACCCGGAGTCAATTACAACTGTTCCCAGAACTGGTTGTTACTTGATTCGCCTTTTACCTGTCTTCGGTTCCACGTGTCATGCTATCATTCGATCATTCATTACAAACCAATTTTACCCTATACAGATAGTCCTCCTGCCTTCTGATGACATATCTTTATATCACCGGAAAGTTGGTGAAGATTCCTTTCTTGGCGGGAAACCTTTTGAACAGTCTCTGACGCTTGAAAGGACACACGTCCTCTCACATTTAATACCCCGAACACGTGTTGTCCCACGATTCAGCAATATTTTCACCGATTTTTTAGGTAATCATGACCACAATTTCTACCGTCTATATCTTCACTTCTACTCATTACTTTACTTCCAAAGTTTGTTTTCATAAACCTTTCTTCTTCTCTGCACTTACTCTGCATTTTCTTAGAAAGCTTTCCATCTCCTTCAACATCCTTAGCAAAACGTTTTACTGTGTCTTTACTACTATGGCTTTCTCTGCTACATCCTTCAGAAACTCTGGCCTTTTCTTCGGTGGAGGTCCGAAGAGAAACAAGGACGCTGATGCCGATTATGAGCCTCCCATTATAAACACCATCATACCAAAAAAAACCTCAGCATTACTAATGACTTCCAAGAGAAGGCTCCTATTACGTCTTCACGAACTTGGGTTGTTAGTAGGTATCCCTCCTTCATTTGCCCTTCTAGTATCCATGCAGTGAAGGAGGACTGCAACTGCCCTAACCTCAACATCCTCGCTCCGGATATGATAGAGCAAGTTACCTTCACCAAAGAGGGTTTTACGTATGTCTATACGTATCCCTTTACCTTGGGTCCATTTTCTTTGGCGTAGAATGAAGGGCCTAACCCCGTAATTTTGGAGTTTGCCACTGGTACTGGGTTTGCTTGGCCCAAGTAGGCCCATCTATATGGCAAACGGTGGCTTGCCTGCGCCAGCTGTGCACAGAGACTGGGGAAACCCTAGCCCTTACACACACGATGAAACTCTACTCTCCGAAAATTTTTCGTGGGGGAGTAATAAATTTCAGCAAACATGGTCACCACACCATCCTCACCAGCATGGATGATGGCAATGATCGCGGGTGGATGGAACAATTTTTCATCATCGCCACCAGGGACATTATCCCGGCCACAGCTCTACCTTTTCCTGAGTCGTAGAACTGTTCTCGTAAGTTTTTTATTCGATTGCTTCATGAAAAGATTATTTTCCGTTATTATTGACTTCTTCGTTTCTTTTTCTTCAGCTACCCGGCGGGAACCACCATAGGTTTAAGGCCTAGACAGTGGGTTCAGAAGATTCCGAAAATTACAATACCAGAATCCCGCTGATGGAAGGAAATCGCTCCCAAATATGGGTGGAAGGCCAAGAACCGTGGTAAACCGAGTCCTTCTTCCTTTTATCTTTGTATGAATGTAGATAACTTTGATAACTTCATTTTTTGCTTGGTTCAGGACTTCCGTAGGGCTCTGTCACCTGCCCCGAGGTCGATATTTAAACCGACCTCAAGGAAGCCATGAGGGTGCTACAAAGTGCCCTTGCTCGAAGCGGTGCACGCGGACCTGCTTCCAGTGAAGGTGCTTCCTTTCGAAGTACCAGCCAGAGAACAAGCAACCAAAAAGGCGACGTTCTTACTCGGCCGAGGCTCAGAATAAGAAAATAAAAACAACAACAACTGAGCCGGCCATAGTGGTTGTTATGGAAGATGGAGAAACTAGTGATGAAGTGCCCCCCCCCCCCC